AAATACTGTATGATTCCATTTACATGAAATGTCCAGAATATGCAAAGCCATAAATACAGAAAGTAGTGATTGCCTGGGGAGGGAAGGGAGACAGAATCAAAAGCGACTGCTAATGGGATTAGGGTTTCTTTATGGAGTGATGGAAATGTTCCAAAATTAGATGATGGTGATTTTTACACAACTGTGAGTATACCAAAAACCACTAAACTGTATATTTTAAATGGGTGAACTATATGTTATATGAATTGTATTTCAATAAAACTATTTTTAAAAGTGTTGTAGTTCACTGTTAAATTAAAAAGACACACATTTTCCAGCTAGTATATTCTAAATTATATAGCTTAAAGCAAAACATCTATGCCAGAATGGCTACCATCAACAAATCAACGAACTACAAGTGCTGGTGAGGGTGTGGAGAAAAGGACACCCTAGTACACTGCTGGTGGAAATGCAGACTGGTGCAGCCACTATGGAAAGTAGCATGGAGTTTCCTCAAAAGATTAAAAATTTGACCCAGTGATCCCACTTCTAGGAATATATCCTAAGGAATTCGAAACAGCAATCACAAAGAACTTATGCACCCCTATGTTCAGAGCAGCATAATTTACAATAGCTAAGATATGGAAACAGCCCAAGTACCCATCAGTAGATGAGTGGATAAAAAAGCTGTGGCACATTTATACCATGGAATACTATGCAGCTGTAAAGAAGAAGGATCCTTTAGCCTTTGGCACAGCATGGAGGGAACTAGAAAGTATTATGCTAAGTGAAATAGGCCAGTCAGAGAAAGACAAGTACCACATGACCTCATTTATATGTGGAATATAATAAACAAAATAAACTGATGAACAAAGTGGACCCAGAGACATAGAAGCATGGAACAAAACTGAGGGATCTCAGAGGGAAGGCGTGGAGGGGGGTGTGGGTGGGGAGAGATTAATCAAAGAACTTATATGTTTGTAAGCATAACCCATGGACACAGACATTGGTATGGGGAAAGCCTGGGGGTGGGATGGATGTGGGGTGGAGGGGATCAGTGAGGATAAAAAGGGGACATCTGTAATATTCTCAACAATAAAGATAAAGAAACTTTAAAAAAAAAGTTATATGGTAATGGAAGGAAACTAGACTTTGGAGGGTAAACACACAATCGAGTACACAGATATCAAATTATAACACTGTACATCGGAAATTTATATAATGTTGTTAACCAATGTTACCGCAATAAATTTATTTTTTTAAGTTTAAAAATAAAATCTGAAATAGCAATTAAGAGTGAATGTTAAGCCCTAGCCGGTTTGGCTCAGTGGTTAGAGCATCAGTCCTTGGACTTAAGGATCCCACGTTTGATTCCAGCCAAGGGCACATACCTCGGTTGCAGGCTCGATCCCTAGCCCCAGTCAGGGCGCATGCAGGAGGCAACCAATGTCAACCAATGTGTTTGACTCACATCAATGTTTCTCTCTCTACCTCTCTCTCCCATTTCCTCTCTCTGTGAAAAGCAATGGAAAAAATATCCTCCCATGAGGATTTAAGAAAAAAAAGAGTGAATGTTAATTGCTAGTATCCAGAGAGCAAACTGAGGAAATGACCTACTGAATAAGTGATACGAGAGAAAACTAGAGATACAGTGATGGGATTTGAAAACTGAAAATATGGAGCCATTGTGCATGAGTGATTTGCAATCAATATTTTAGCATTAGTGCTACAAAGCTGGAATCAATATTACTTTAAAAACAAGACAGGCCCCCAACATCTTATGGGCCTCTTTCCTCATCTGCAAAATCAAGACTTGCAACTAACAAAATAATTTTTAAGATGAAGACAGAGAAGAAAGAGATGGCTGCTTTCCCAAAAAAATTTTCTGGGCAAAAGCCTCTATATGCGTGATATGCTTGGGCCTTTCAGAATTACAATGAAAAAGGAGAGGCACTCCCTTATGATATATGGGAGTCGACTAACATTTCATGATTGTTCAAGATTAAAATAAGGAGTTATATAATGAAAGAGTCAAGCCACTGTGGCTCTTCAAACAAAAAGGAATAAGATTAGAAGAATAAGTTAGTATACCAGGGAAAGAAAGCGAATAATGATTCACAAATAATAGTTGGCAAAGGAGAGTCTGTCTGGTTAGGGAAATGTAGCTAGGTGGCTTTTTGTGAAGAGCAGGAATTTTAGGGATGGGCATACTAACCTTATATCTGCTATCAATTTACTGTTACTTTCTGTTCTCTCATTTCTCTTCAGTTACAAAACCTAACGCAGGAACAGCTAAGAATGTGGTGCCTTAAAAATGCTACCTCAAAAGATGAAAGAAAGGAAAGCCCATGAAGAAGAATAGAGGAGTTTGAGATTTACAATTAAGAGTCAAGTTAGGGAAGAGAGCCTACTGCCTTAATCAAACATAGATTATGATTGTGATGAAAAAACAAGGTATAATGATGATGGAGGTGCATCGAAGGAAAAACATGGGATCTAAAACATCAAGTCTGTGCATGCTGCTGCCTCTGAATGGGATAAGATAAAGGTGAGATCATCCCCTGTGAATCTGGGCAGGGAAAAGCTAGACTAAAGACAAAGACAGTGGGTACTACTTGTATTTTTTTTAATCCTCAACAGAGGATATTTTTTTCCTTTGCTCTTTCAGAGAGAGTGGAAGGGGGAGAGAGAGAGACATTGATGTGAGAGAGAGACATCAGTTAGTTGCCTCCCACACAAGCCGTCAGGGCCAGGGATCGAGCCTGCAACCAAGATACATGCCTTGGCCAGAATCTAACCTAGGACCCTTCAGTCCACAGGCCGACAATAGCCACTGAGCCAAACCGGCAAGGGCTTACTTGTATTTTTGGGTGTTCAAGTGACTGAATCTTGAGTCTGATAGTAAGATTTAAGGGTATCAGCCAAAGGCAGGATAAGGCCAAAAATAAAAAGCCCCTAATAATGATACAGGGAGTTAGGAAAAACAACTAAAACTGATAGGATAGTGCGGACGTTCTCAAACCCTTATTTTACCATGTGCACTTAGGGCAAAAGATCCCTTAATTCATCTACCCCTATAAAACCCCAATTTCCAGTGAGAAAAGGACTCAGTGATAACAATGAAGCAAATTTTAGGAAGAATGGGTAACTCGCATTCGAACCATAATGCGTATATTCTTATGTCAAGATACTAGAAAGTTACAGGCCAAAATTCAGCTGATACAAATATGCACTACTATTCAGTGGAGGGTTAACATAATAAATCACAACAAGCTAAAATTATAGCACTAAATTAAAGTCATTTATCATATAAGCCAAGAACTACAGCAATGGAAAACCACAACCAACTCAAGACAACACTGAGGGTGTCTGAGAAAGAATTCTTCCTAAAAACTCTGGTAAATCCAACTGTTCCGGTGGGAGCTTTGCTTGGCTGCCTACTGCAGCTCAGCAGCCAAATTTCTCAGAATACTGAAACAGCATCCTCTGTAACTCTAATAACATCCAGTTTTATGAAAACCAAATATTAATAACCTTTAATAATTCACTGATAATACTAGTATGTAGCCTTTGGTCTTTATAAAAGATAATGAATGAGGATCATTTACCCGTAACAGTTCAAGAAAATGGATAAAGAGAGGAACAATATGATCACGATCATAATGCAATACGGGACTAGCAAACTACTAGGGATGGTCCCATTGAAGGATGGCACTTAGAGAACTGTGCTAGCAATGTGCCCTGGAAGACGGAAGCTGTGCAGGTGGAGATGGGGAGCAAAGCCTCCAGTCCGCCCCTCCTTCAAACACTCATGAGGCAACTTTCCCCATGAAAAAAAGTGAGTAATAACTCTTTTTTGAAGGGAGACGCGGTGACCCAAGACTGTACAAGGCGGGTAGGACAATGATCTATCTCTTGGCTACATAGAGATCAGAAGGTACCAGCAGAAGGATAAAGATGAGTTAGTTCTAGGGCACTAGTAAACTGAGGGGAAAGGGAAAGGTAGCTTGAAATTGGGCTGGTAAGTAATTAACAAGTACAGGTGGATGGTAATCCGCAATTGAGACAGAACAGAGGTGAAGAATGCAGACTCTGTATCCAGGCTCCTGAGGAGGAATCTCAACTCCCCCACTTTATTTTCCCAGTAACCTTGAGCAAGTCACTTAACTTCTTTGTGCCTCATCTGTAAAATGAAGGTAATAACAGTACCTAACCGGATTGTTTTTCGATTGGATTCAGTTATATTTGTAAATCGCTTAATACAATGTCTGGCACTGTATATAGTAAACGATACCTAAGTTTTGTTAAATAAATTGTGGTGGGTGGGGGTTTCTTTTGACATCTCCAAATAAAATGGAGGTATGGGGGCAAAGTAATGGTAACGGGGGCGAGTGGGGGGGTAACTTTTTCTCGCGATGAGACTACCACAGGCTGCACCTTTGGGAGAGGCCTTCCTCCTGACAGGGTTAAGGGAACACTGGCTCCCAGGAGAGGGGCACAGGTTGAGGGAAACTTCCTTCCAGGCCTAGGATTTTTCAGGAACTCATTTCTGAGAAGTGGTTGTGATCTGAAGGAGGCAAGAGTTTAATTTCCGTGCAACAGACCATGGGGAAAAATTCTACTTTGTCTGAAGAGCAGGACTTCTGTCTAGGGCAGGACGGAGGGAAAGGGGTGATGTCCTCAGGGGAAGATGTGATAAAAGCCACTATCTGTCCGGCGCGCTCCAGCTGCCCGGCGCCGGGGTAGCTTCGGAGGGAGAACGAAAGCTGCCCAGCCCGGGGGTAGGCAGGAGGCGCCTTCGGGGTAACGGGGCTGTGGAAGACGGCGATCGCGAAGGGGACCCACTTCGGGGCTGCGGAGGGAGACCCGCCTCGCCAAGGGTGGAGATCGCTCGCACGGCTCTCCGAAGGGCGGGGCCGGCGCTGGCCGTGCGGACGGCTGGCCAGACACACAGCCCCGAAGGAGCCCGCCCCCCTGTCCCGCTCGTGCCCGCCCGTGGGTAGCCCCGGCACCCGGGATACCTGAGCGTGGGCCCGATGCAGGCCGTGTCGGTGCTCTCGATCTCCCGCAGGATCCGCTCGTGTTCCGCCGCTGTCTCCAGGCTCTCCGCCTCCGCCATCTTTCCCCGCTCCATAGACTGGGGCGCCCCGCAGCGTGTCCCCTCCTTCAGCTCCACTCACCTCACGTTCCCACTCTCACCCCAGGTTCCACAGCCTCCTCAGCCTCGGGCTACCCGCAGGAGGACCCCTCCCTCAGGCTCGGCACGCCCCCTGCGTCAGCGCGCCGCCGACGTTCCACGCAATGCCCTCTGGGATTCGTAGTTCTCTGGGCGATGTGAAGCAGGATCCCGCTGGTCTATTCATTAAATCCACAGGTACCTGTGGAAAGCAGCAGTTTCAGCCGGGAACCAGGGGCCACGGCATCTGCAACGGTGATCTAGTCGGGCAGTGGCCCTAATCCTGCAAATTCTTGTTTAGCACCCTTGCCACAACACTGAAAAGTCTCCACGGGTTCGAATCATAAGGAAGGACTAATCTTACAAGCTGGGAAGTTGTGGGTGGGGAGGGAGAAAGCTAAAGAAATCCGAACTATGAGATAGAGGTAGAATGTAAAAAAAGAGATAAGGTAGAATGTGACTGTAAGCCAGTTCAGAGAATCAAGCCCAGAGATCACTTACCAGTGCAAAGGATTCATAGACTGGGCCTAGAGGTTTAAAAGGTGTGACGGAAAGGTATGAGGAGATCTCAGAAAGCCAGCAAGAACTTTATTTGCACAATGTGGGAGAAGTCGTCGTAAGGGGTGGGGCTGGAAAAGTACCTTGGAGAGAAATAATGGGCTGAGAAATTTGTACTTTATTCTAATGGCTCCACCGATCCAATGACCAACTGTATCAGACGCACCTAGAAACTTTTGTTTTTAAAGCAGGTGAACGGTCCCACAGCAGGACATTCTGGTCCACACATCTACATTTCATAAAATCCTCAGATTAGAATTTAAAAATCATATTTATTGATCAGTGCTTGAATTTTTTGCGTAACATGATACATGGGAATCCACTGAAAGTTTTTGAGAAGAGGGACACAATCAGAACCTTGGCGTTAAGAAATTAGATCAAAAGCAAATGCGCAAGGTGAGCAGAAATAGAAAATCTGAAGACAGGGAAATGCTATAGAAAATTTTAAGGCCTAAACCAGGGAAATGACAATGAAAAAGAAAAAGAATAGACAAATACATTCAAAAGCAGAATTGGCATGATTTATTAGATATGGGAAAGGAGGACCTTGGGTATTACTCCAAGGTTGGAGCAGAATGACTGGGCGAATTGTATTGCATCAACAACAACAACACAAAGGAATATAAGAACTAAGCTAGAAATTGAGGCTAAGTAATTTGTACTACAACAATACCATGGATTATTATACAATCACTGAAGAGGAAGAGAAAAGATTCTATATTCAGATAAGAAAGTGTTTTCAAGGTGTGTTGAGTGAAGAAGGAAGGCATGAAACAGTATATACCACATGTCTTCATTTGTTTTATTAAAAGAATAAATATTTATATGCTTATATATACATAAAATATTATATACATAGAATATTTATGAAAGGATACCCAGGAGTCTGTTAACAGTAGTGGCAGCCAGAAGAGAGATTGGAAGCAAGGGGCCTGAAGTAGGAGGAAGGTAATTTTAAGTGATGTATGTACTTTTGGAATTCTTTCTCTTGTGCACGTATTACTTTCTCAATAAAAATAGTATTAACGAAAAATAATTTTTTAAAAAATAAACAAACCAATAGTGAGGAGAATGGGTTACAAGTACTGGTTTGCCGGGAAGTGAGCAAGTTGCTAAACCTGTCTGTGTCTAGATAATCTCTGACTGTCCTCATTTTATTTCAACACTTGTGTTTAAACCATTCCAGATGGATATAGGAAGGGTACAGACAGTATGGAGCCTTTCATATATATAAAGATCTCTTCAGATACATGACAGAGGGTCCCTTCAATTACCCATTTTAGCATCTCACTCAGCAAAAAACATTTTGTCCATGTCAGGAAGCAGACTGATGTGTAGACCAGATATGTATAGAAGTGGTTAAACTAGCTTCTGCTACTTTCAGCAGTTTTTTTGAGCCCCACAGAGGCCAGAGTCTCACATGTTACCAGCAAGTGTGTGTGAATCTGGAGTGATTCCAGTAGGAAAGCTCCAGTGAAGCTGGCCTGCCCTCTAAATACAGAGAATAGAAAGTCAGTGTGGAATGACCAAAAAAGCTAAGAGTCAGGGGGCCTTTGATTCTGTTCCAACATGAGTAGTTAAACTGTTGAGCACTTTCCCTGTGCCAGGCACAATACACAAAGTAAGCACTTCACATACTTCTTAAATCCTTACAATAATCCTTTACAGTAGATACAATGTATCTCATTTTACAGATGAGAACATTGAGAGAATTGCTAATACCTCAGGTCTCACAGCTATTAAATGATGAAGCTGGTATTCAAACCCGGGTCCATCTGATCCCAAGGCCCATTTCCTGATCATTGGGCCATACTGTCCCACCCATTCCCTCCATTGCCAATTTATTGCGTGAGCTTAAGCTAATCATTCTGCCTCTAACCATCTGTTTCTACATTAGTATAGTTTATTATATCACTTCTCAGACCCTTTCCAAATTGCTTTGAAGACCTCATTTCAGAGCTACCTCTTTCCACTTACTTTAAATGAACTGGGTTTCTCTTCTCCTGCGTCTGTAGATTTGCAGTGTCAACATACTCACTACTCCCCCTTGCAATTTCTAAACTGTTATTCCAATACCCTAATTCCTCAACTCCCCTTTGAAACCTAGGGCATCAGGTTGTGTAGTCATCCGCTAATGCTCACATTCCTCAGAAATTTCACCACTTGGCGCACAGTTTTTTCGTCTCCACCTCATTCTCTGCCATCATCCTGAGGCACTTCAACATCAACTTGGATAACCCACCCAACACCCTGACCTCATGTATCTCCACTGTCCCAGCCATGTTCCTCATGCCACATGGGCTATACGTTCATTCATGGCCACACTTTTCCCCTAGCATTCTGTAAACACTGCTTTACCCTGAAGACTATAAACTCTGAAATTCCCCTCTGTCTTTTTTCCATACATCTCTTCTGCCCAATTTTTCTGGAACACACACATTATTCTAATTCCACTCTATTGGCACCTTTTCCCTTTTATCCTGGATTTTTTTTTCTATCCAAGCTTCCAATTCAGAGAAATCTGAGTTTGGCTTCTCCATTAATCAGCAGGTGAATTTAAGTGTTATGTGGCTTCCATTGGCTGTAGTTTTCTCATATATAAAATAGTGGTTTATAATATAGACCTTAGGCAGTTGTAAGAATTAGAAATAAGTGATGTAAGGGGCCTAGCACAGAACTTGGCAGAATAAATGTTAGCTGCTACGCAGCACATGTACTCCCGTGAGTCACCAATATGACTAAGACTTCTCTAACTCTCTAGCTTCCTTTTACATCTTGATTCTCACCACACCTACATTGCCAACTTCTCCCCCTTCTACTGTGATGGAGAAAGAAGACTGTGACCATGGCAACTAGCACAACGGCACATTTGTATTGCTCAATATCACTTGGGCCCTGAGGGCTGCTGACCCATCTTTGACTTCTAGTCCTGCTCATAGCACCCATTTGTAATCCTTTGCTCTCTGCTTAGGACCCCAGCCCTACTCCCCTCCTTCTCACTCCTAGAAGATAGCTTTGCATTGGAAGGACCACCATCTATTATTAAAACCTTATTTTCCCTCCCCTTTACCATCTTTTCCATCCAACTGCTTATCTCCTATGTAAGAGGAATGGGGATCCCTATTACTTTCTGAAGTCCAATTCTCCTCTGGTTCCTCAAGTATTTCCTACTCTTTTGTTTGGGTCTTCTCTTTGTTTTTTGGTCAGCCTACCTAAAAGTTTTTCCATTTTGTTGATCTTTTCAAAGAACCAACTTTTGGTTTGTTGGCTGTGGCAATTGTTTTTCTATTATCTTTGTTATTTATTTCTTCCCTAATCTTTATTATTTCCTCCTTTCTGCTTGTTTTAGGTTTAGTTTACTCTTTTTTTTTTTTTTTTTTTTTTTTTTTTTNGGAAGGACCACCATCTATTATTAAAACCTTATTTTCCCTCCCCTTTACCATCTTTTCCATCCAACTGCTTATCTCCTATGTAAGAGGAATGGGGATCCCTATTACTTTCTGAAGTCCAATTCTCCTCTGGTTCCTCAAGTATTTCCTACTCTTTTGTTTGGGTCTTCTCTTTGTTTTTTGGTCAGCCTACCTAAAAGTTTTTCCATTTTGTTGATCTTTTCAAAGAACCAACTTTTGGTTTGTTGGCTGTGGCAATTGTTTTTCTATTATCTTTGTTATTTATTTCTTCCCTAATCTTTATTATTTCCTCCTTTCTGCTTGTTTTAGGTTTAGTTTACTCTTTTTTTTTTTTCTTCTAGTTTCTTAAGATGGAAGTTTAGGTTATGGATTTGAGAACTTTCTTCATTTTTAATATAGGCATTTATAGCTAGAAATTTCCCTGTTAGTGCTATTTTAAACTTTCTTTTAAAATATATTTTTATTGACTTCAGAGAGAGGAAGGGAAGGGGAGAGAGAGAGAAACATCAGTGAGAGTCATTGATCAGCTGCCTCCTGCACGGCCCCTGCTGGGGATTGAGCCCCAAACTGGGGAAAGTGCCCTGACCCAGAATTCATGGATGAGCAACTGCTGAGCCACACTGGCCTGGCCGTTAGTGCTATTTTATCGGCAGCCCATAAGTTTTGGCAAGTTGTGCTTTCCTTTCATCTTGAAATATTTTCTAACTTCCCTTAAGACTTTTGACTTACTGATTATTAAGAATAATTTAATTTTCACATATTTGTGAATCCCCAAATTTCTTTCTCTATTGATTTCTAATTTAATTCCATTGTGGTACAGAAAACACACTTTATTGCAATCCTTTTAAATTTATGGACATGACCTACCATAGAGTGTGTTCCCTGTGCCCTCGGGAAGAGTATGTATTCTGCGCTGCCCAAGTCTTCTGTTCCCTGGTTCCTAGTTGTTCTAGCTGTTATTGAAAGTAAGATAATGAAGTCTCCAACTATTATTGCTGAATGGATATCTGCTCTTAAATATCTCCCAGGTACTTTAGACTCATTAGGTTCAAAATTGATTTTATGCTCTCTCCCTTCCCAAACCCATCTCAGTTTATTGCACTAGATGCT